TCATAAAAAAAATTACTTATAAAACGAGTACTATATTATAACATTTGATCTTACTGTTGTAGTAACCATATCGTGAATGTGTAGTAATTTTCACTAAAAACCAAATAAAAAAAAAACCTTTTTTTAAGAGATATATCTTGATACTAATCTTTATGTGAGGTATAATCGCGGTATGAGCACAAATACGTGCACCATAATAAACCGAACATCCCACAATTAACTCGGTAACTATTACTAAAAATTATATCTATCCAAAAATTTATTTCTTTCGGCAACGTTACATACAAACAGGTTTTATTCATTGTGTGAGGGTTAAACCTCTCATTGGGTTAAAGCTCCTCTAGGGTTAAACCTCCCTCTCTTAGTGTTTAGTTTCTTTTAATTTGCTAAAAAGTTATTTGTTTAAAATGTTTTGAATACATTTATGATAAATTTATATATTTTTCAAAATTTGTTTAGAAATTTTTTATTTGTTAAAAGTATAAGTAGTATATCTTTAAATTCCATAGTAAAAGATATTAGTTTAAGAAGAGTATTATATCATAACGTTTTATCTTACTGTTGTAGTAACCATATCATAAATGTGTAGTCATTTTCACTAAAACCAAATCGAATACAACTTTTTTTTAGATATATATATATATGTTGATACTAAACTTCATAAGAAGTATAATTGCGGCGTGAACACAAATAGATGCATTACAGTAAACCGAACACCCCACAATTAACTCGGTAACTATCACTATAAATCATATATTTTAGACTTTTATTGCAATTTTACATACGAACCACTTCATGTGAGGTATAACCGCGTCATCAACAAATATATGCGCACAACACAATAACGAACATCCCACAATTAACTTCGTTCTATCTTGGACATTACATATGAACCTATTTTATTCACTCTGCGAAGATTAAAGCTCCCTAGGGTTAAAGCTATCTTGGACATTATATATGAACCCGTTTTACCTCAACTAGTTCAATATTATGATCAAGCTATAAGTTATGATCAGACTTGGAGGAAGTGACGAGTAACAGTCTTTCAATTTTTGGAGGATTCATGTCATTAGAAATTTTCTCACAGGAAGTGGTTTTCATAGTATCATTTTTCTCAATATTAAAAAAAAAAAAACATTATTAAGCGAAAATAATGTAAAGCAAAAAGTATCCACATTGACAAAAAAAATTCGAAAGATTAAAAATCTCTGCATGCAAATACAGAAAGGAAAGCTTTAAAGAAGAGGAAAGATCTTAAACTTGGTTATAAAGTTGCGAGCTTCTCTGGAGATGAAAAAAGGTTGTTATCTTGATAGCTTTTCAACGAACGGTTAATCCTTGGATTGCTGCAGCAGATGATGACGATACTTGAGAACCTTCCTCGGTAACCTTGTTCGATTCGATTGTACTTATGATGTTTGCAATGTTATCCTACACAAACACACGGGAAACAAAAAAAAAAAATAAGACTCCGGAGATGCATTGTAACAAAATGAACTGAAAGCTTTTGTATTTACCCTCCAAGTCGCTAGCTTTGTTCGAAGTGAATGCCATTGCTTTGACCCGAATTCACGCTCGGAACAGCGGCTGAAACATATGAATCATACCATCAAATTACATATGTTGCAAGTACATGTAAAAAAATATAAGTGTAGAGTAATTATAGACGTGTGACTTGCCTGACAACTACAACTTGGTTCATCTGATCCATCTTACAATCAATAAGTTTCGCACTTATTGCCTTCACAATCCATAACTCAACCTCCTCTGCGTTTACCTGCAAACAGATAAAAATAAGCAACAAAAAAGAGTTCCCGATATTTTCATGTCTTGAGTGAGTTTTTACTTTTACCTGTAGAGTGTCTTTGATTGAGGTATAAGGTATTTTGCCAGATTCATCTGAGGCCAAGTCCACTAGTGACAGCAATCTCATCTTTGTTACACAATCTTCATCAACAAGTCCTATAAACACCAGTGGAGGACTCGTCAGGACACATAATGTTTAAGCAAAAGGAGTCAAACGGATTAACGTTTAGTACCATATGTTTCCAGAAATCCCGAGTTTGCAATTTGGAATTCAGTGTAAGCATTGAGTCTCTGGGTAAGAAAGATCTTCAGTAGCTGGTAAACCGGTGCATATTTAGCATCCTTCTCCAATTGTGCTACGGCTGGCAAGTCCAATAAATCACACTGCAGTGATAACAAATCATCAATGAAATTCCCAATAAAATACAGGACAAGAAAGACGATTACACAGCAGAATAACATTATGATTTATGATATACCTGGAAGATAGTTGAAGCTTTGACAAATTCAATAACTGCACGCACAGCCTCATCCTTAGCTTCATCCAGAACCTGAGCATCCTCATTGGAGAAAGTCGCTAGATACTTCGTCAGGAACGTAAGGGATTCTTTCACCAAGCTGGAAAATTGATAGAAAAACCCACTGAGGCCATTGAGGCCAGGGAGAAAATGACTGATGAGCAGGGTTATTAAGAAGAGGTTAGGTTGCAGTACCTTTTGTTTTCTCTCAGCACATTAGCAATGGCAAGAAAGAGTTCCCTCTGATCTTTAACGTCAATATTCCACTCTTTCAAGAAGCTATCGATCTTCTTAAAAGAAGGAACTATGTACTCAGTAACCTTCCCATCAACAGCCAGTGCTAGAGCTTTCATGTATACTTGAAAACGAGCATACGGGTGGTCCAGAAGGTTATAGAGATTGAAGAGGCTATCAAAAAACAAATAACCAAAAAATGAGAAGTAAGTAATATCAAAATAAAGTATTAAACATATAAGCTTTAAGGAATCATACATCTTCAAACGGAGTGATGCTTTGTCGGTCGGTTGTTGAACAACCTTAGAAGATATAGCTTTCACCATTTCAAGGACATCCGGGCTATTCGCATTCTTGACAAGGCTGCAAATTATGGTGTAGGTACACTCAAGATCTGAATCAAAGACACAGAACAACATTAATCTACTGATAAACTAATACTCTAAGGAACATACACAAAAAAAGAGGAACATACAAACCTTTCTCAGATATCTTGGAAGATACCAATTCAGCTGAAGCTACCATTAACGTAGCTAACTCAAGCCACTTTCCTGCAACTATTGACTCCTCAGCTTCCCTACATAGCCTAGCAATTTCTGGTTCTGCAACCTAAGCAAAGAAACACAAGTTCCAAAATTTAAATACCGAGCTTAAGAAGTAGCTTATTGAGACTAAATCTTGTCATATGCATCAGAAACATAAACGATTACAGACTATTCTACTCCAAAAGCATCTAATTG